CAGCAAACAGGTAATAAGAATACTCAAAGTTTTATCAGGTAGAATTCGTTATCTGTGAACTAACACCATGTGGCAGGGAGAGGGGAGAATTAATAATTAGATCACAGGAGTTAAAGGTTTAACTGTGCGTGATAATTATGCGGCAGAAGCGCGTGATGAGCATATGACAAAGCTAGATAACGTGCTGTACATAATTATAACTCTCGTCAATATCAAAACCAGCTATTACCTCTCGAAAACAAACCATTGGCAGAAATATTGGACAAGATGGCGCCGCGCTTGCGCATTTCTTCCATAATGGCGTCCAAATAATATAAGAAACTGTATGGAAATTTGTAAAATTTCTAAATATAACAATCAGGAGCTCATGGTCCCGTCGGCTCTCGATCGAGACATATTTAGTACTGATTCTGCTATTCATCAAAACTCACAGTGACTCGATAAATAAAAACAACTTACTTCCCGAGCCAGTTCTTTTGTCATTGTTCATTGACCTAAGTCGCCATACAGTTCTTCAAAATCCGTCGTTCTCCATCCCAAACACTCGGCTATTATAGGAAAGTACATTAATGAAGTCAACTGCTCTCGATCGAATTGACTGCAACTGAGTTCGAAGCGTCAAAATATCCTGTAAAATTGTCATTTCCTCCCATCGAAAAACTTCCCAATGCAGCAGAATATCCCTTATTTTCCATGTTGAGTAAGTGACGAGACGCCATGTTAAAAACTATGACTGAAATTGTTAAACACGAGCCACGCTGATCTTCGAATCATCGGCCATATTTGTTTATGTTCTTGCTGGGAAATAAATTAGTTCTCAGGTCCTTTTCGGAATAAAAATATGCCAGGCGTCAAATGCAAATTTAGTACAGTCGAACCTCGATTTATTCGGACTTTAATCTTTAAAAATCTTTAATCGAGATACTCCTGAAACAGTAATAACTATACCAGGAGGACTAATTACAGAGAATAAAATTAAATAACTTTTATACAGTTTAAGATTTAACAATGTAAGAAAAACAAAGCTTAGATAAAACAAAGCTTGGATAAAACAAAATAATATAATAGCGCAAAGATAAAATTAGTATGGGCTAAACCGACCTAATAAATGAAAGAGCATTTGATCTAAATATATCTATATTAACAATGTTAGAAGAGCTTAGAGATATATTGTTCCACAAAACTACTGTCATTGGATAAAAACAGTATTTATATAAATCATTATTCACTTTCAATTGTTTGAAAGGACGACAGTTTGGAGCTCTTGACTTCGATTGTCCGGACTTTTTCTCTGGTCCCGTTTTTTTAATGAATATTAATGATCTTACATGTTCAAAACTTTGAGAGGTAAAAAAAATTCAGAAATTATGTTAAAAGTCAGGAAAATTGCGTTTAAAACAGCGCACTACACGCTCCGCTTTCCAAAGATCGAGCGCTCGGAGACAAAAAGAGACAAGAAGCATTCTAATGCGTTCTGCTGAATTTTGATTGGTTCAGTATTGTTTTGTTGCTAAGGGAATGTCATGCTTGATCAGTTCGATGAGCGTGGGTTATGTAAACATACGAGACGATCGTAACTCAAAACGACAAATATCTAAGAAGCGAAAGCGATCTGTTCTCTCGATAAAAGATTAACAAATAATTATTTCACGTTTAGATAAAGGAGAGAAAGGAACAAATTTAGCGCTTGAATTTGGTATTAGCAAGCAACAGATCTCTGATATACGCAAGAACAAGGACAAGATCCTGAAACTCACCGACAACATCGAGACAAGCGAAGGATTGAAGCGAAAGTCGCTGAAGCTTGCAAATGACGAGCGGTTGGATCAGGCCTTGAACACCTGGTTTATTCAGCAGAGGTCAACTGGAACACCAATTTCAGGACCGCTTCTTCAGGGAAAAGCGAAACATTTCTCTATGCAGTTAAATGGCGAGTCAGCTGATCATGAAAGC